TGCTGAGACCTCCACTTTTTAGAGCTTCTCTATGAGGGTTGAGCGTTGTTAGGTTTCCTCTTGTTTAAGAGAGTCATCTTGCTAAAGCTTCCGCTCCCCAGAGCTCCGCTTAGGCAGTAATATGAGTTGTAGGCTCTTTCTTTTTGAGCCTCACTAACTGCCTCTGGCGCTGAGTGTAGCTAGGTCTCCTCTCGCTTTAGAGAGTCGTTATTCTAAGACCTCCACTCTTAAGAGCCCCTCAACTATGGTTGAGTGTTGTTAGGCTTCCTCTCGTTTAAGAGAGTCATCCTGATGAAGCCTCCGCTCTCCAGAGCACCGCTTAGCCAGAAATATGGGTTTGTAAGCTCTCCTCTTTTTGAGCCTCACTAACTGCCTCTGGCGTTGAGTGTAGCTAGGTCTCCTCTCGCTTTAGAGAGTCGTTATGCTGAGACCTCCACTCTTAAGAGCTCCTCAACTAGGGTTGAGTGTGGTTAGGCTTCTCTCGTTTAAGAGAGTCGTCCTGCTGAAGCCTCCGCTCTTTAGAACTCCGTCTTTGGCAGTAATGTGAGTTTGTAGGCTCTTTTCTTTTTTGAGCCTCACTAGCTGCCTCTGGCGTTGAGTGTAGCTATGTCTCCTCTCACTTTAGACAGTCGTTATGCTGAGACCTCCACTCTTAAGAGTTCCCCTACCAGGATCGAGTGTCATTAGGCTTCCTCTCATTTAAGAGAGTCATCCTGCTGAAGCTTTCACTCTCCAGAGCACCGCTTAGCCAGAAATATGGGTTCGTAGGCTCTCCCCTTTTTGAGCCTCACTAACTGCCTCTGGCGTTGGGTGTAGCTAGGTCTCCTCTCGCTTCAGAGAGTAGTTATGCTGAGACCTCCACTCTTAAGAGCTCCTCAACTAGGGTTGAGTGTGGTTAGGCTCCTCCCGTTTAAGAGAGTCGTCCTGCTGAAGCCTCCGCTCTTTAGAACTCCGTCTTTGGCAGTAATGTGAGTTTGTAGGCTCTTTTCTTTTTTGAGCCTCACTAACTGCCTCTGGCGTTGAGTGTAACTAGGTCTCCTCTCGCTTTAGAGAGTCGTTAT